TTGGATCGGCGCCATCACGATGAAACAAAGAAAGGTGGTTCAAATGGACGGGTGGGAAAAAAACACAAGGGCACATGGGAAGAGAGATGGGAGTAAAACCATCGTCATTATTGTCACCATAAATAGTCAAAACATTCACCACATTCGTGTTGTGTCATTGGCAGGTTGATGGGCGCTTTTGAAACTCAAGACAAACACACACGCACACGCACACACAAACGAAACGGAACCATTTAAGGGCTGAGAGGAGAGGGAGGAGAGCTATGTACAGGCCTAATAACTCGCACTCGTATTGCACTTCGCTTGGGGGCATGGAGGCAAATGGGACGGGCAGAAGATACGCATTGATTTGAAGGAGAAGTGGTTCCCAAATGGCAAGATCATTTCACGCAACCAAATAGCTATACTCATTCACTTACAGTAAATGCCTTTTATACAAAAAAATGCCGGGCAGATGAATGAGGCACCTTCACGCAGACGCTGTAGTTGTCGACGTCACCGTCGCTGTCGTCGTTGTTGTCGTGGAAGATGAGGTACCGATTGTAGTAGCAGAGGAAGAGGCAGCAACTACAGCAGCGGCTGCTGCAGCAGCGGCAGCTCGTTGCTGAGCTGCTACCACTGCCATCTGCTGTGCGTAATGCTGATGCTGCTGTTGCAGGTACTGCTGCTGTGCAGCCAGAATTTGCTGTTGCTGTTGCTGCTGCTGTGCTTGTTGTTGGGCTTGTTGCTGTTGTTGTATCTGCTGTTGGTCCTGTGCCGTGTTAAACGCAAACTGTGTAGCGGTGCGGTTAGATGGGAAAAAACTAAACGCTTGTTGACGCATGTGTGCCGCTTGATGGACCTGCAACATTGCAGCATATTGCTGATGATGCGCTTGTGCTTGTTGCGCTTGCTGCTGTTGAGTGTGGTAGGGGTGTTGGACTTGCTGGACCACCTGGTGTTGGTACTGCTGCCGCTGTTGATGTGCAGCGTAAGCGTACTGCTGTTGCTGTTGGGTTTGCTGTTGCTGTTGTTGCTGTCGATGATAATACGCCGCTTGTTGACTCTGTAAATGCACTTGATGATGAGCATAGGGCTGAGCTATCGCAGCCTGTGCTCCGCTCTGAGCAGCAGAGGTTTGAAACTGCCGACCCAATGCAGCAGCTGCCATTACAGCAGCAATATTGTTTGTTGTGGCCGCAGCAGCCACTGCTGGCGTAGTTGTTGTAGCAGTAGTTGATGTCGTTGCTGTGGTATTGCTGGTAATCCCTGTGGCGGTCGTCGAGGCAGTGGCGGCGGTAGAAGTACTAGTAGGCTGTCCGACACAGACGAATGATGCCGCAGAATTGGGGTTTGCAGCCATGAAGACAGGATAGTGCATTTGTTGGGCAAACTGAGGATAAGCTGTGATTGCAGCAGCGACAGCTGCTGTCGCAGTGGTGGATGTGGCTGTCGTCACTGCAGTGCTACTATTAGTGTTATCAGTAGCAGTGGTAGCAGTGCTGGCGGATGTTGAGGCAGAGGCAGTCGGTGTAGTGGACACAATAGCAGTTCCGTTAACCACCGGATTCAACGCCACAATGGGGAAATTCTGCGCCGCAAAGAGAGTGCTTGTGGCGGCACCAGGAGCAGCAGCGGACAAAAATCCAAAACCAGAAACAGGGAGTGGATTTGCAGTAGCGACTACAGAAGAGGCTGACGTACTTGTTACCGCAGTTGCCACAGCAGATTTCGATTTCCTCACTCCGCTACTTCGTGGCCTTGGACCGTAGAGATGCGTCTTTTCATGCAACCTCCGCTTGTCTGACCGGGCAAAACACTTACCGCAGTGAATGCATTCATACGGCTTAATTTTAGTATGAATTCTTTCGTGGATCTTCAGTTTATCCGAACGAGTAAAGCGCTTGGGACAGAAGGAACACGCATAAGGTCGAATGCCTGTGTGCGTGCGGTGATGAATTTTCAATTTATCAGAGCGAGTAAAACGCTGCTTACATGTGGCGCATTCAAAGGGCTTCACATTTAGATGTGAAATCTCGTGCATACGCATCTTGTCGGCACGGAGGAAGGCCTTCTGGCAAAAAGAGCACTTGTGCGGTCGGATGTCGGAGTGGGTCAGTTTATGGTTTTTCAACGACTTTATGCCTGAGTAGCGCTTGAGGCACTGGTCGCACTGGTAGGGTTTCTCAACTGCGGGATCGATGGTGGGCTTTTGATCAGCAAGAGAGGGATCAAGTTTGAGGAGAAGGTCTTCGGGGATCTGCGGGAGAGCTGGAGCAGTGGTGGAGGTGTTAGTAGGTGCGGTCGTAGAGGAGGTGGAATTCTTACCACCACTACTTCCATTTGCTGTAGGAGCAGCAGTAGAGGAAGCGACAGTGACAGGTGGAGGAAAAGTAGGCTGCGATTTCTGATCACCTGGGGAAGAAACTGAGGTCACAGCAACCGCAGGAAAGGTAGGAAAGGAAACTCTCTGCTGTTGTTGAGCTTGTTGCTGAGCCTGCTGTTGCTGTTGACGAGCAGCAGCAAGATATTGCTGATGCTGTTGTAGTTGTTGGAGGTGAAGCTGATGTTGGTAGTGCAGCTGATGATGTGGTTGCACCATGGTGGGTTGAGAGGTGCGCATGAAAGTGGAGACGGAAGTCGTTGCAGTGGTGGTGGCGGTGCTTGAAGATGCAGCAGCAGCAGCAGCGACAAGGGTGTTTGTTGATGCAGGCTGCGCGGTAGCAGCGAAGCTGCCCCAAGGAGCAAAGGGATGGTTGTGAACCATGACTAAAAAAGAAGAAAAGGAGTAACATTACACGGTAGCACGTAATGCAATATCAGGTTAGCGTGCCTGTTAGACATCTTATCAGGTAATAAACAGCACTACCAATCCCTCCTTATTAACATCGATAAGTTAGATTGCTGTTAGCTGTTAAGCGATCGACTTGGATCTAACCTGCTGCCCATAGCCGATTAATGACCTGCTCCAAAGAACTCTTCCGCAAACGCGTGACTGTAAATTTGATTAAACCAGGAAATTTCAGCCATTTCACACGCATTCCTAATTTAGCATATCTCCACGAATTTGATGACTTACACGCCAGTAACTCAGACTAATAAATGGTCAATGAAACGTTGTCTCATTAAAGGCGATAACATAAAACATTGTCCTAGGAACCTACAGAAACCAATAAAAATAACCAATGTCCAGATTTAAAAAACAGGAAATGAATAAAGACAGAGAATAAAGTACAAACAGTAACACATGGGAAATTCATCCTCTAAACTAACAACAAATATTTATGGTTTTGTAAGTTGTAAAAATCCAATACCCATTTTATGGAAAAATAACACAACAGGAACAGGATTTACAACAAAGCAAATGTTGGCACAACAAAATTTGCAAAGTAGTGAATGAAACGTAGTTAACAGGGCATAATCAAGCCACAAAAAATAATACGTACCTGGAAAGCTCCCATTTTCGACAAAAGATGGGTTACCGGCAAAGGAGAGAAAGACATTCTCCATCACCGAATATCAAGAAAATAAGCCGACTTAAATAGGCCGCTTAGACATTTAAATAATGCTTTAAACAATTCAAACGTCAATAATTCACTTGTATTAGTATTGCATATATAATAATTTTGTTATTTAAAATAGCTGCTTTACTGATTTTTGTCATGTTCGGCGTAACTTGCAAGGTGGTTTGTTTTTTAGCGTTTAATATGGCCGATGATCTCGTTGTTATTAATCAACCTACAGTGTAATTATAAAATAATAAATCTCATAATTATGATTATTATAGCTTGTGCTTGCAGTATCTCTTTGCTCTTCAGATCAAACTGTTCAGCCGTCCAACAGTACAGGAGCCTCAAACCGTTCAACCTCCAGATTGTTATTTCTGAACACATTTGCATTACTAACCGTTGCCTACAGCGCCACAAGTTTTCCCGTAAGCGCTCGAAGACGAGATACAAAAACGGGCCACCACCAGCCTGAGCCATGTAAAATGTGCCTGCGGAAACCCAGACACCGGTAAATCAAAGCACTCAGCCAATAGAAGCGCCACAGCACAGCGGCCCCACCCACGACCGAAGGTCACAACTTCCCAGTGTAAAGAACTCGACTGCATAATTGCCCCCATTCCACCTCAGGAAATTCGCAATCAAAAAAGTGGCGATATCACACTTTACTCGGACTACTACAGAGGGCAAAACAAGTGACAAAAGAGGAGAGATGGACCATGTGATCCTTGTAGTGAATGTGAAAAAGAAGTGGAGAAAATAGTTAAAAAGTCTCCAAATTCAGGTTTAAATGTATGCAAGGACGGGAGTCGCGCCTCTTGTCTACTTTCCTC